CCAGCCAGGTCTCAGTGAAGCATGCCAGGTTGGCCGCCTCATCCACCAGGAGATCTTGGATGATATGTAGTTTTGTGAGGTACTGGCACCAGGAGATCTTGAATGATATGTAGTTTTGTGAGGTACTGGCACTCTTTGGCAGAGAAATTTAAAGACAAAACTACAAATTCCAAGATTCCATAGGAGAGAGCTACAGAATTTAAAGTGGTGTCCAACTGTATTATTTCTACAGTGTTGATGCACCCTAAGTTAGTCTTTTGGTTTCCTTGTTTGTTGAATAGCTTAGATTAATGCTCTATTTACATTTTTTGATAGATTGTCTGTTTAATGAGTGTGTGCATGCTTGAACAACTGACCCACTCCAATTGTCACCAGTTGCCATTGTGGTTACCCAGATGTTAAATGGAAGACAAGCAGAGAGAGTCATCACAAAAAAAGTCAGAGCACTGTCTAAGACCATGATGAAATTAGGTCCCAGGATTAGTTACTTCCTTCACTATAAGCAGTAAATTAGGAGGAGTTAAAAGGCACCTTGCAGCCGCACCTTACATCACCAAACTGGCAACGTATTGCAACCCTTAAGATGCAGCCCAAAGGGGTTGTAATTCAGGGTGGTGACATAGGAAAAAAATCTAAGCAGCAGGAAAAGACTGGTTGCATCCACACTGCAAAAATAAGCCACTTTGACGCCACTTTAACTGTCATGGCTCAGTGCTAGGAAACTAGTTTTGTGAGATATTTAGCCTACAAATGTAGCCAACAACCTACAAATCCCAGGATTCCATAGCATTGAGCCATGGCAGTTAAAGTGGTGTCAAACTGGATTATTTATGCAGTGCAGATACAGCCTTTTGGGGCAGGAATAAAGAGGAATAAACAGCTTAGACAGACAATTCTGGAAGAGGCAGGTTAGGTGAAGGGGGGAAGTTTCCAAAGCCATCCCAGATCATAAGGGATATGGTGACTGGGTTGAAGGAGATATTCAATGTCAGTTGTTATGGTGGGGGTTTTTTTTATGTGTTGCATCTTTTTTTTTATTTGTTGGTGGGTGTTTGATTTTTTGATTTTTTGTAAAATATATTTGTCAAATAATTTTATTAACTAAAAAAAAAGAAAAATGTCCCAGTTTCTCTCTCTTCTTTCCACTCTCATTTGTCTCCAAGTACTTCAATTAATACAAATTGAGTTGAAAGTGCAAACATAGTTTGCAGTCAATTAACTCAGCAGGGAAGTGATGAGAGGCAACAGCAAATGGCTGCAGCATCTCTTAGCTTGTGTGTTCTTCTTTATTAATAAATTTTGCCATTTTGACACACACTGTTGTTGCTTGGCCACACATGTCCTGGTTTTTTATCTGTGAAATGTTGGAGGGTACACCTTTACATGTGAAACCAGCTTCTCTTGCAATGCACCTGATTTTGAACACATCTGAACTGTTTGGGCATGAACCCACATAGCAAGCCTTAACTGACAGGCAGCACTGATTTGCAATAACTTCTCTTTTCTTAGCTGTTGATGTCATTCCAGCCCATTGCATTAGATAAGGGTTAAGATTTCATACAAGGTTCTGCCCATCTCATTTTTCACAGTGGCCTAGCAGACATCTTAGTAAAGCCCCTGCAGGCTATATCTGCAAGGCCTGATCTTGCAATTCCATGTAAGTATCATGAGCAGCAGCTGCTAATAGATCTTTCTCGTTCCTTTCTCCTCAAAACCAACTAATTCATTGTCCCTATATTATGGGAATTAATTTGATGAAGTATGAATTGTCTGTCTGCAACTGAGCGCCACAAGAACTTGTAGCATTAAGATTACCACCCTTCTTTTTTCATGGAGGACTGCCCTGGGTTTAAGACCACAGAGAATTAGGGCTGTCAGATGTCCCATTTTCATGTCTCATCTCCAGGTGCAGATTCTCAAGTTTTTGTGGCCTCAGGTCTGGGCAAGAGAAAAGCACTGTGTGCAAGTATCCAGATCAGGTTCCCACATGCATTTCTCTTCAAAATCTAAAATGGTACTACCCCATACCTTCAACGTTTCACAGATGAAAACAAGACATGTGTGGCCAAGCAAAATCAGAGCATGTTCAAGCTGGCAGAAATCATTAATGAGGAACCAAACACAAACTAGGACAGGGTACAGATGTTTGCTTTTGACTGAGCCTACTTGGACTGGCAATAATAATAATAATAATAATAAAAATTATTTATACCCCGCCCAATGGTAAACCAATCCAAGCGGCTTACAATTTTAAAACAGACCATCCACAATAAAACATACAATGCAACATTGCAAGATTCTTCCTCCTCCCCCTGCTGAGTTAACTGAGGACCTTATCACACAGTAGAAAGCCTGTGCAGAAACGGGATTTAAAAGGTGGGGAAAACCCACAAAAGCGGGTAGATTTTCACACACATCGCTGTTAAGGTGTGGTTAACCTGAACGGAAAGTAGTCCAAAGCCACTCTTTTTATTTTCTGGATTTTCTGAAAGTAAAAAGAAGTGGCTTTTAACTACTTTCCATTTGTGTTAACCACACTTTAATGGTGATGTAATCTGAA